ATTGTGGAGATAGTCTGGATAATCTTGGGTTGTTTTCTTTGGAATGAGTTAACCTCATAACCTTTTAAAAAGTACTTGGATGAACACGAAGTGTCATAACATTAAAGGCTATGCGCTTCGTGCCGGAAAGTGCTAGTGTATGTAGCAGTGTATTTTTGGTGTACAAACTTGATAGGCTGAGGGGTTCTTCTGTACTGTATGATTCTATCATTCTATGACCTTCCTGTCCAGGAACTAGATTCTTCCTATCAACTCTATCGAAGCCCCTCATAGTTTTATTTAATCGCACTTCAGCCACTTTGTTCCAGTCTTTCCTCATAGCTAAAATATTGGCCTAGTGGCATCCTTATAAGTCTCCTCTTTAAATTTCTAGTAATAGTAGATGTCCAGTGCTAGCATATCTTTCCTGTAATCTGATGGTCAGAACTGTATGTAGTAATCTACTTGCAAGCTAACTAGAATAACATTCCTCATTCTGTGCTACATTTAATGAAGAAAAGTGTGTTGCATACCATCTTAACCACCTTTTCTATCAGTCCTGCTACATTAGGGATTTGTGGGCATTCACACCAAGGTTCCTCTCTTTTGCAGTTTTCAGTATTCTACCACTTATTGCATATCCCTTTGCCCTTTTCACTTTTCCAGGTTGAATTCCACTTGACATTTTTCTGCCTACCAGGTCAGTCTAGCGTTTTTATTCCTGAAATCCCCACCCGTCTTCCTCACTTATAGCCACCCATCCATTTTTTGTATCATTTGCAAACTTCTTAATCATGCCGCATACAGTTAAGTCTAAATCAGTATATACTACAAAAAACAAGGAACCTAATATTGCACCCTGTAGGACCCCACTGCAAACAAAAGCACCATCAACCTTCGTACTGCTGAACCAATTTTGGATCCCATAAGCTTTGACTTTTGTAAGTTAATTTGCCATATGGAATTGTTAAATGTGCTGCCTATTTGACTCGCCTTGTTATCTCCCTGAAAAATTAAGTTGTTGGTAGAGATGACATTCCCTTGACAAATCTATGCTGCTTCTCCTTGGTTAATTCATAACTTTCCAATTGATGATTTATACTGTCATTCAGAATTTTATCTAGTAATTTGCCCACCAGCAAAGTTTTGGCTTACTAGCCAGATAATCTGATCACTTCTCCAAATTAGTAATAAGTGATTTTTGGTTTTGACTGAGGGATAAGTATTGTCCAGGGCACTGAGAACTACCCTGGAGTTTTACATCCACCGGAGAAAGTATATTGAGTCTTGGTGTAAAATTTCTTCTGAAAGATGTCGCTAAATGGAGCACTCACTCAGTACTGCACTGGAAAGGCAGCCTATATTTAGTCCTCCAGTCCTGGTAGTTGATTTGAAGTCACAACCTTGTGACTCAAGAGTTGCTACAATTGAGCCAGAGCTGATACCTAATTCACCGATACAAATACAAGCAACTTGTAAATGAAACTTTGCATTAATTTGGTTTCATCCTAAACCTAGGGATACCAATGTAGGTTTTAAATGATTGGTTTCTATGTGGAGAAATTTTTTAGAGACAGTACCGAGCAGAGATCGTAACTCAAATCAATATGATCTCCTCCCATGAACCTTTAAATAACCAGTTACAAAACAGTATTGGTAAACATTTTAGGAGCTGGTTACTTTTACCTACTCTGTTAACCAGGGTATCACATATAATGTGAAGACAGTTGAAATTACAGACTAAAAATTCAAATTCTGCAAGTTGTAGGTAGACAATTCTCAAATATTAAAAATTGTTAGTTTTGCAATAGTCTGTCAAATTTTCTCCTGCTGTTATTGATGGCATGGGGTAATATACGCTATATTTTCAGTTTTGGAAACACTGCAGAAGCTACTGAATAGCGTGATGAAATGTTTAACCTGTCAAAATTGTTTGTATTGCTGTGCTAGGAACATAAATGTTTGCCAAGTCAAAAATGCAAGGAGGAATAAAAGCTTTTGATACATTTTGCACAGACACGGCAATGAAGTGTGCTCTATTTATAGAATGAAACATTTTTTCCTAGATTGGTAAAACCTGATTATTCTGACAGGTAAATGTCAATGTCTAAACCATAGAAACTGTATTAAGCAACAGTTTATTGTTAAGCAGCTATCTACATTTGGTCTAGCTTTTCTGAATTTGTATAGTTTTTTAAACCCTTCTTGTCAATAAGTAAAAATGTTTATTAATGCAGCTTTTCCTTCTGTAAATCAATAAATGGCTGAAAGAGGTCAAATTTGTTAAATCTTTTTCATTCTTCAAATCAGTAAAAGACACTGACTAAACAAAAATACAATAATACGCTTTCAGTTGTGTTTTGAAGCTTGAGCTAGTTAGTTTTTAAAACTTTGAGCTATTGTCGTCTGTATTAGATTTTATCATCATTTTCTTAATTTGATGGTATTCAATTTCTTTTTTTAGATCCCAGACCTGGAGAGAGATTTGGTGTCTTTAAAATCACCTTCAAAGGAAGATATTGCAGATTTGTTAAATTCATATCATTTCAAGGTGCAGTGATCTATGCACATGTAAAGACTTAGCACTTGACTTTGCTTGTAGACTTATTTTCATCTCCTATTTTCTCTCTGAGGGTCATTTTGTGACGCTCATTTCCTGTGAACAAGACAGCAAGGTTTTATTCTACTTTTGGCTGTTGCCAGTGTCATTCTCACAGTGTCCTGCATAGCTTAATTTGAGAGGTCTGGAGTTGGAGTTACCCTCCTGGAACGAGAAATAGAGGTCTGACTGCTTCTGTGTCCTGAAGTCACTCATGGTGATCTTCTCAGGGGATGCACCCTCGATTAAATTCGAGATGAGCTTGACAATCAGGTGGGCTCGTGAAATTATGGTGACAATCGGAGGCTTTCCAGCTTGAAAAGAGCCATAGGCTGCATTAGAGGTAATTAATCAAGAGGCTACTACAAGGAGTTGTCTCCAATGTTTAAAAATTAAAATTAATCTAGTCGCCTGTTTTCTTTGGAGGTGGCCAGTGGTGGATGGAGTGAAGAAGAACGAGAAACACTTTAGATCCCTGGCTGCTCCTGCACTAAGGCAGGCAGTGAGGGCATTGAGACCAGGAAAGCTGACCCCACCCTTTCCATCGGGAGGCCACTTCCAGGTGTCTATACTGGCCCACACCTAACTGAAGCAACCTTCTAATTCCAGTGGAAAATTCTCAAATTGTCTTTGGATGTGTAGCAGTTAATGTTTGGATGTTCATATCTACATTTTTCTCACAGTCCATGGCTGGGAGCATTACAATATCATAAATTGCGAAATAAATCTTTTGAACTGGAACCTTTTGTAGGCCTGATTTTGCCATCCATATGCTGTGTTCAGTTTCTGCAGCGATTTACAAAAATTGTGACATAAATTGGTCTGACTGTGAAAAATGCACGAGTTTGCCTTCAACAGGGCGGTTTCACCTGATCTGGCAAAGTTTAGGTTATCCCTGTTATATAAGAAACTGGACTCGGATGTTGCAGTATTGAATAAGTCCACAGACAATTATTATAACCAACTATTATGTATAAATGTTACATTCCTCCGGGTCAAAAATGAGATTTACAACACAAAAATTAGTGTGGCTATTAAAAATGAAGAAAACATTAAGTAGCATTTTGTAACAAAAATACTGTAATAAAGCTGTCATCTTCAAAACATAAAAAGGATTAGAAAAAATAATACACCAATGGAGAAATCTGAAGCCAGTAACTAATTTGTAATAGCAAGGTGTAGAGCTGGATGAACACAGCAGGCCAAGCAGCATCAGAGGAGCAGGAAGGCTGACGTTTGGGGCCTAGACCCTTCTTCAGAAAATACAAATTAATTTGTAGTTAATATTTACTATACAACAAATTAATGTAGTACTCTATAATACATTAATTGGAGTTGGGAGTTTGGGATATAAATTACAAATAATGCTTAAATGCAAATAAGTAAGCTGTTCGCTATCATTTTTCTGATAAAAAAGCTAACAACTCCAAATAGAGATAGTAAGAACTGCTGATGCTGGAGTCAGAGTTAACACAATATGGAGCTGGAGGAACACAACAGGCCACACAGCATCAGAGGAGCAGGAAAGTTGAAGTTTCGGGTCGGGACCCTTCAGAAAAAAATTATTAATGACTCCAAATAGTTCTGTTTTCACATACAAGTTGTCCTTTGTGATTTAACAATTGCAGCCCTTCCAGATCTCAACTAAAGCAATTTACTCCTAATAATTCAAAAGCCATTTTTTGACCCACGCATATTTCAAATAATCTGATGACTTTGAAGTAAGAGTGCAAACAGAGTAGGATCTGAGAACAGTGGCTCTCTGCATGTTAGTATGTTAATTGATAGAATAAGATATTGATTAGTCTTTCACAGTGCCTGATGTCTCCTGTGGGTCTTGATTAAAGTGTATGCATTCTCTGCTAGTCGCAGGGTTTGTATCGTAAGCACTGTATCCTTGTATCAAAGGAATTGGAAAAATGTTTTCACTTGTTAAAAGAATAATTTTCGAAGTCAGTTTGTCTCGCCACATGACCATGACAATCTGGCAGCAACTTCCCCCCCCCCCCCCATTGAAATGAACAATATTGTGACATTTGTTCTGATGACAAAGGGAATCATAAAATGGAAATTGTTATGTTGCAAATAAAAGTCTGGAAAATATGATCTTTAAGGACAAAGGAATACTCATATGACAGACAATAATGGGAAATTCCGGCATCTAAATTGTGTGAAATGTGTTTAGTTGTATTCCTATGATTCAGCTTTTCCTAATACTGCTACATTGCGAAGCTGATTCAAGGACCTTTTCATCTCAGATTTTGTTTTCCCTAAAAAATGAACAATGGACTTTAATGATATGGTAGATTGGGAAAACTGAAGCGGCTGAGACATTAATTTTGCTTTTTCCTTCCAACAGTGCAAAGCTGATCATAAATTTGTCTTGGCAGAGCACATGGACAAGATTAATAGGTAATTTATAATAATGGATGCTAGTCTTCTCACTGGCTTTAACTGTGTACCACTGCTAATGTTTATTACTTATATTATCCTAGCTCTTCAGAGATGTTTTTAAACTTAAATTCAACTTTAGCATATTTACTATGAATGTAATCAATTATCTGTATGTCGTATAAAAGTAATTCCAAAGCGCTCTACCAAGGTAGTGTTGTTTGGAGAAATGTTAAAGTTTAGGGAAAAGTTAGCAGTATTTAATTTTTGATTTTGTGTATCAACATGGAGAAAGTTACAGTATTTTTACTAATAATTGAGCATTTTGGTTTCTGTCTTCTACTGCATTTCAGCCTTTCTTCAGGGATAAGGGCAAAAAGAAAAACAGTGTTTATTCAATTCAAGTGCAGATGTAAGAGTTTTAACAGCAGCAATGGCTTTTCTTCCTGTTGGTACGGAAGTGCAGTATCTCACAACAAAATTTAATGAGTTGGTTCATTGTACACACTTTTTGATTATACCCTTTTACCTATGAAATATTGTAGATCTTTGTTGATGCTTCTTGGTAACTTTTATCCATAAAATCCCTACAGTGTGGAAACAGGCCCTTTTGGCCCAACAAGTCCACACCGACCCTCAGAGCATCCCACCCATACCCATTCCCCAAACTCACGAACCTACACGTCCCTGGACACTATGAGCAATTTAGCATGGTCAATCCACCTAGCCTGCACATCTTTGGATTGTGGGAGGAAACTGGAGCACCCAGAGGAAACCCACACAGACATGGGGAAAATGTGCAAACTCCACACAGACAGTTGACTGAGGGGGAATTGAACCCAGGCCCCTGGCGCTGTGAGGCAGCAGTGCTAACCACTGAGCCAGCGTGCTGCCCTAACTTCCTAATGAAAGGTGTCCTGTTGTATGGCACGGTTGACAGTAGAAGTTTTCTCTCTTCCCTTGAAGGATAAAGCTTTCCAGTAACTCAGCATTCCTGCAGTAACCTACTTCGAAAACTAGGATGACCAGTGAAGTGGATAATCAATATAGCAAAGCTGTCTTGATGATCTAATTACAATAAAGGCACTTTGAATTGTTCCACAAAATATCCAGATCAGAAAAGTCCTTAGATAATTCGTGGTCTCGCCTGAAGTTGCTGTTCTTGGCTGGAGCAGTTATGGAGGCATTATATTTGGTCTCATTCCATTTAGCAAGGATGGGAAAAATCAATCAAGGTTCCTTATGGGAAGGGCGAGTTGTTCTTTGCAAAAACCAATGACGAGTACACTTTATACCCTGAAAGCTTGGAATGTAAGTACCCAACTTTTACAGCTTGACCACCAATCTCTCAACTATTCAAAATACTTAAGTCATTTCTGATTGCAAAGGTATCTGGTTAACTTTTTAAAATTACCTGCAATGCTGAATTTAGTGTTTGACTTTAAAATAAATCTGCCCAATTAAAAACAGTGTGAAGCCGATTGCAAGGATCCACAGCATATTAGTTAAAAGTATAAGCTTTGAGCAAATATGATTAATCCATGCCTGTTCGCTATATTGTGGATAACATGCTGACCTTTTATTGACTGCTTATTTTGAACAATGCTCATAGTCATCGCTATTCACACTAATCCTTGACTGCATGCAGTGGCTCAAAATTGAACTTGCTAACAACACTTAAAGCCAGCCTGGACTGCTTAACAGGGAGATGCATTGTGTCTGGAGGTGGTCCTGTCAGTTGGTCAGGAAGTGAATCCAATCTGGGAAGCAATGAAGAATGAAATAATATGGAAGAGCACAGGATCCAAGGTTTTCAGATGCTGCACTGGAGACCTCGGTGGTGCAACTGGAAAGTAGGAGAATACCTTCTGTCTGGGAGGCCAGGCACATGCTCAAAAGGCAATACAAGGAAGTAGGCAGAGAAATTAATGCTATGGGTCAAGCCCCAAGCACATAGATGATAAACTGCAACAAACGAAGTGACCTCACATGACCAGTCAAAGTCAGTGTATGCACTTTCAAAACACATATGCTAACAACTGTATCAGTAACCTCACCTACTGAAACCAGCTACTCCTCAAATCACTCAAATCAATGAAGTAACTAAAGTTGGAGATGCCACATGCCCAACATCATACTCATTTTTCTGTCATATGCTATATTTCACTGAGCATTGTTGCAAGTTTCACTTCCATATCCCACAGATTTTATATACTGCCAAATATTCAATCATAACGGCGACATCAGCCAAGCTGATAGCACCTCATTCACTGGTATATTTGCCTGTCTCTTGTATGGCTAGCTGGTATGCAACTAGGAGGAGCAAACAGAAGGAGCACACCAGAGGAGGACAGGCATACCACATTTTCTAAACCTCATGGAGGATATGGCACTGGCAGTTATTGGGATTTCATAACTTCAGCAGAGAGGCTATAACTATTTGGGCTGACAGTATCCTCATATCTGATCCTGCTCCTCTATTTCCCTTCCCTTTTGTCTCACACTGTCTGATTTACAAGCTGCAGCTAATATATGTGTGCACTGTTATAATTCCCTGCCCTCTCCCTACCCCACAACCTTTTCATATATCTAAGATATACTGACTGGTTAGGCAGTAGAGGAACATCAATAAGACATCTTCATTTGATCTCTCGCTCTTGGCCAACAGCTTAAATATGGACACTGTGCATATCTTAGAAGACAGATTATAAGTAGGATCTACAGGAAGCTCCATGACTAAAGTGGGGTGTAGTGAGTGAGGGTTTTGTGGTGGGGAGAATCAGCTGGAAGTTGTAAGTATAGCATAGATTGTTCTAGGCTTCTACCACAGAGAATTCAGATGAGCGCTTTGATGGTGCAGCCTATAGAACAACAATCACTTCAATTTGTATAATACCTTGAATATAATAAGATGTCATAAAACACATCACAGGAGCTTGATAAAATAAAGTATGGTACTGAACCATGTGAGGCCTTATTGGGGATAGATGATCAGAACATTGATCAAAGAAGGTTTTTGAGGAGTGTCTTTAAGCATTCTTTGACAGGGAATTCTAGAGTTCTGGACCAAGGCAACTGAAGCACAGCTACCAGTCATGAAGCAAAGAGACCAGGATTCGATAAGTGTATATTCCTTGGAGGATTGTGGGACTGGAGGAACTTAACATGATGGGGAGGAACAAAATTATGGAGGAATTCGAAAGTAAAGATGAGCATTTTAAAATTGAGGAGTTGCTTCACCACAAGCTAAATTAAGTCTGTGAAGATATGGATGATAAGTCAACGAGACTTTGTGAAAGGTAGGGCATAAGTAGTAAAGCTTTTGATGATGTTGAATTTATGGAGGATGGATTGCAGAAGGCTGGACAGGAATGTTTTGAAGTAGTTAAGTCGAGAAATAATAAAGACATTGATAAAGTTTGAGCAGGCCAGCAAAGTAAGATATTTGTGGAATCGGGCAATAGCACCAAAATGGAAATAAGCTGTTTTCATGGTATTTTGGATATGTGGTTGGAAGCTCACTTTAGGATAAAATATGAAACCAAGGTTGCAAATGACATGGTACAGCTCAGACAATTGGAGTGAGAGGAATGAAGTTTGTGGTGGGATCGAAGGCAGTGGCTTCAGTCTTCCCAATATTTAATTTGGAGGATTTTCTGCTCATCCAGAATTGGATGTGGACAAATAGTCTGTTAAGTTAGACATAGTGGAGTGTTGGGAAATGTAGTGATGAGATAGAGTACACTGATAGGGATGCGTATAAAGAGGCATGGTCCATTGGGAGGTCTACCAAAAGGCTCCATGTCAAGGAACAAGAAGCAGTTCTTAATCAACTTGACACACAATTTTTCACTGAACTTGGAGTCCACTCTTCTCATCAGGTAAATAGTGGCCAACTCCATTCGCACACGTGTGGATCCAACCACGACACAGTATCTAATAGCTGGTGGCCAGGGCTGTCTGCTAATGGTTGTGAAGTTATACAGTGTGCAGCAGACCACCTAAAATTTTAACGCCCACTCAAACGAGTAGTCCAGGATACTCCAGAGGGTCTAGGCAGCGGAATCAGACTGTCCCAAGAACATAAATAGGAGTATGAATTGGGCATTTGGCCTGTTGGGGCCCACTGCATTATTCAGTAACACGATGAGCGATTGGATTGTGGCCTTAACTCCACTTATTTTCCTATTCTCTATTCCCAGATCAGAAATGAGTGTATCCAGCCTTGACCATACTCAATGACCCAACCTCCACAGCTCTATGGAGCATACAATTCCAAAGGTTAACAACCTTCTCAAGAAAATAAATTACTCCTCATTTCCATCTTAAATGGGAGACTTCTTATTTTGAAACTGTGTGCCTGTATCTTGTTTCTGCCACAACAAGATTTCAAGCCATTTTGGAATCTTGTGTTTCATTAAGGTCACCTTGCATTCTTCTAAATTCCAATGATTGTAGACACAATCTGTTCAACTTTTCCTCATAACACAATCCCTTCGTTCCAGAGATCAATCTAATGAACTTTCTCTGAACAGCCTTCAGTGTAAATATATTCCTTCCTTTTGCCCCTACGTTCTCTTCTATTTACATCACTATGCCTTTTGTGTCTTCTACTGTGAAGTTAGATGCAAACTACTTGTTTAAAGCTACTGCCATGTTCCATTATTAATTCCTCAGTTTCGTTCTCCAAGAGACTACACGCTGCAGTGTCTCTCTATTTTAAATAATAATTTGCCTTTCTACTCTTTGCACCAAACTGAACAACCTCACATTTTCCTACATTGTTTTCTGTAGCCACATTTTCATCCACTCACAATAACCTATCTATGTTTCTTTACAGGCTGTCTGGGTGGAATTTAATGCCCTCACCTGCAGCATGTTTGCATGCAGGGGCATTGAATTGAATGGGTTGGTGCTGTGTGGTGGCACTGCAGACTTGCCACCTCTGCCACGATTAAGTTGAGGCAGCAGACCTTTGAATGGCTGTATCTCATCGCTACTGGTATTCAATAAATGACAATAGGATAGTCACATGCTTGGAGACCCAAGCCCTAGTGTTTTAGCCCTTAATTCCATGAATTCTGCAGATATACTTTCTCTTCTATCGACATGAGTATGCTTTTTGTGTCTTCTACCATAAAGACGGACGCAAAATACTTGTTAAAAGCTACTGCCATTTCTTTATTTTCCATTATTAATTCCCCAATTTCATTCTCCAAGAGACTACACTGATTTATGTACTCTCTTCCTTTTTATATACCTGTATAAGCTTTTGCTGTCTGTTTTCAGATTTTCACCAGTTTATTCATTTATATCACAAGAACAAAAAGGAACTTTTAAAAAGTGACTTTTAGAAAAGGAAGCCAGTATTTCAGCCACTTTATTGGAGCTGAAAGCTACAGTGATCTTTTTAAGAGGGTAGGAGTGGAGAGCCAAAGTTGACCTAGACATTGGTCGATAATGAGCATCAGAGTTCATGTTTTGGGTCCGGTGACCCTTCCTCAGAACTCTGGACCTGAAACGTTAACTCTCTTTTTTCCTTCACAGATGCTGCCAGACCTGCTGAGCTTTTCCAGCAACTTTGTTTTTGTTCCTCATTTACAGCATCCGCAGTTCTTTCATTTTTTACATAAACATCAGAGATTGGTTGCAGACAAGCTACAGGGAATGTGAGAGGACAGACATATCATAATAGCAGATCTCTTGGTATCAATAGCTACAAGCAGCAGGTGATTACTGTCATTCTAATAGCCTATCTTTAGAGTCATTCTTTGTTAGTTTCTAAAATTTTCCCAATATATTGGCCTATTACTAACCTTTGCAGTTTTGTAACTTGCTACCATAAATTGACTTCATTAGCCACACAAGATGCAACTTTCTTATTAGAATATACCTTTGTTGAATGATGAAATATCTGCCCGAATATGTATCACTGCTTTTTTACCATCTTAATTTTAACTTGAGCCAACTTTGATTTGTCATGTCAGTAATCTGCTGTCTCTTTTTTTCATGTGGTTGTATCTATTCTCATGCGGCAGCATGTCTTTTGTTGATCGCATGCTGCACACTGTATGTCTGTTGTGCACTGGAGTCATCAACCATGTTGTCAGTGGGATCATCCAGTAGGCACCTTTTAATTTCTGCAGTGTTGGCTTGCAAGTAATTGTCACAATGGACTGCTGCAGAATGAAAACATCATAACTGATACCAGGATACTGGGCACTATTCTGCACGATTTATTGCTTGTGATCATATTATGGAACCCTGCACCATGGAGAAGCTTGCATTCATGGAAAATATGTGTCGTCGCTCTGCATGCTTGTCTCTGGCAGACAACATTCTATGTAGTTAACTTTCATAGAAGAGAGAGCCTTAGCAATCTTCCTCTTGTAATAGTGGATGGCAAACCAAAAGCTGTTGCAGATATCTGTAGTTATAATCTGGGAGAACCAGACGTATTAAAAGTTCATGACCACAGTCACTAGTAATGGGGTCCTTGTCCAGTTCTGAAGTTCCAGATACAGCTGAAGAGGAGGCAGATTTCAGTCCTTCACTAGAGTTCAGATAATCAAGTTATTTCCTGACATGCTCAACAGGTATGGCCAACTTCTTAATAGCTCTGAATCTTCTTTCTCACTTTTAGTTCCTTGTGCAGCTTGATTCATTCTCCAAATCGTAATGTAATCCAAGGGGGAATGTCTGTGAGTACGCTCATGAGAGAGCAGCTATTTCGTTGAGAAGCATGTAGTCGGCAAGCAATTCCTATAGCACCTGCCACACTACTCCGCATAGACCATTGCAGCCTGAAACAACTACAAGAAGCGTCAAACACTTGTAGAACAATAGCAATAGCCAAAAGAAATAAACCAGCAAGTAACCTGTAAGCAGTTGATGAACCCTTTTATTATTGGAGATGAATGGTCCTTCATGCTGCTTAATGTGTGTTCAGCTGTGCGAGGTTAAGAGAAGGCTTGGTTGCATACCCAGTTCAAAAATGGCATCAAATTATGTTGCGTACTGATTTGACATCATGTTCTGCCCGCTCCGCATACTTTAGCAAACATTCACTGTATGTGTTTATTGCAGGTATTATTTTTGAGCTCTAACGTCATTCCCAGCACCCAAAAAATAGGATTTTAAATCCATTTCTTACCCTTTGTCATCAAACCTTTGTAAATTGCTTAATTTTGAATTCATTTTCAGAAATACTTTTTCTTCTGCTATCAAAAAGTGCTCATAAACAATTAGTTCTAGATGTTATTTGAGTGCCACGCTTTTCTATTCCACACAACTTGTTGATGCAGTTTTTGAGATGTTTCCTGATTTAGTGAAGAAGTATTCAGTTATTGTAATTAATCATGTGGTAATAGGGCTTTATAGTTTCTAAAGATTATCTACAGTAACCTCTAAAAGTTTAGGTATCAAAACAACTCTATTAGAGTATTTTTCAGGTCATTGACTGATTCCAATATGACGTTTTATCTGCTTATGTTTTACAGACTTTTTAAAACCAACAGTGTTGAAGAAATACTAGAAAATCTGAAGGAAGACAGTAGTCCATTTGCACTTCAGAATTTGGAGGTATGGTACATTAGATGAAGAATTGACAGGATTTGAACATTGCATGCTGTTAGCAAAAGCCATTGATGCATATCAATCCTCTTGTAATTTAAAACCAATATTGAGCTATAAAGCATTTAATCAGATGGCCTGCTGTTACAGTGGACAACCTTCTGGAGATAAGCATTCATTATTGGATGGGAACCTACAGTATTCCATAATTGTTTCATTGCATATTGTGAATTTAAGATATAAGAAACATTACTGATTTTGTGAAGAATTCAAAATTCATCTTATTTTTTATAACTTAGTTACCTAAGTTCAGATAAATCATAGGAACAGGGGAAAGCCATTCAGCCCATGAACCCTGCTCCACCATTCAATTAAATCATAATTGATCATCTACCCCAACACCATTTTTCCTTACTAGTTCTATATCTCTTGCTGCCATTAGTCTCCAGAAATCTACCAACTCCTGTTTTGAACACTCTGTGATTGAGTTTCCATAGCCCTCTTGGGTAGAGAATTCCAAAGATTCACTATCCTTTGCATTAAGAAATTCCTCCTCATCTCAGTCTTAAATGGCCTGCCCCTTATACAGAGATCATGTCCCTGTTCTAGTCTAGTTATTGATGGGATTACTGAATCACTGTATACCCTTGCTTCGGTCATGGTTCCTCCAATTCATGTTAGACTTGGAGAAGTACTGATTCAACAATTTGCTTTTCTGCAGCACGTTTAATGTTGTAAAATGTTCCCAATTAATTATTTGAGAGAAAGTGGGAGGAAATTTTATGAACTTCAGTGATAGTTTGAGGATTTGCAGGGGCAAGCCCAATTGACTAAACGCCACTGCTGGAAAATTTTCCTTTCTAAAATACTTTTGAAGAGCAGTCAACAATTGTTATGAGAGCAAATATGGCAGCTTGTGCACAGTGAGGTTTCATAGATAGGAAATAATTAAAGACTAGGTCATCTGTTTCTGATGTATAATGAAAGGCAAAATGTTGCTCACTGTTTTTCTTTGAATAGTGCAATATGATCTTTTATATCTAACTGACTAAGAAGATGAAGCTTTGCTTGCATGTTCCATCCAAACAACAGTACTTATAACCATCAATACAGCCTGAATTTGATGCTGACGTGTTGGCATGTGTGATGTACTAAACCTCATAGTCAAGCTTGAACTTTCTGACTGACACTGACTCTGACTCAACTGAGAACGATACAATATGAGCTGAACTGGCTCTGGTAGATAATGTAAAAATATTAACATATTCTTTGAATTCATTCTGTTTTCTTTAGCGGTAATGCAATATTTTTGGTAGCACAATTGTCTAGGTTAAGAAACAAACATAGAGAATGGTGGCAAAACAGCATATCTGGCAGCAACTGTGGAGAGAGAAACAGATTTAAGATTTAAAATCTGGTATAAGGCTTCTTCAGAACAAGTATAGAATAAGGTTGGGATGTAAAAAGAAACTTATTCCTACTTGACTGTTACCTTAGAAAATGCAACCGAAAAACAGAGGGCAGCAATTAGTGTTGGTTCTGTAAGCCAATGTTTTGCAATATTTTTGTTTTGAAGAAATTTGGTGAGCCTGCTAGGGAAGTAAACATACCTGACTCTGCGAGACAGCTTTTTTAAAGCATGATGGAAGTGATACCACTGAAAGGACGAGATTAATGACATTTCTCATACCTCCATTAGCAGCTGGACCAAATGTGTATTTGCTGCCATCAGATTTTGGTACAAGTGTATATCACCTTCCATCTATCCTCTGCACTGATGCACTGTGAAGAAATTCCTTTGCAACGTAGATAATCTTTGGACCAGTTCCACTGCAACATAACATAATCTGCCTGATCTGCTGCCAAAATAACATTCTTATTTGATGAATCCAATTGCACTGCCAGAAGCAATGGGTTGAATTAGCACTGTGATGCAATATCTTCAGTAACTGGATCTACTCTTAATTGGTGCATGTGCTGTCTTTCAACAAATGGTAGATAATCGTAAATACAAGGATCTTAATGGCATACTTAGAGTTTTACATATTGGTTATTAGCATTTACCAACACTATGCAGTAAATAATGGCGCTGCTAACACACAATTCCATATGTTTGTGACCAAACCGGCCTTCACTAAAATTATTTTCTGCCAGGTCCCTAACCCCATATAGGTATACGATTTGTTTTTAAAGATAATGAGAAAAACGTACTGACACTTGCATTCAACAATATTCAATTATCAAATGATTCTAGCCAGCATACTATAGTGACTGTTGTCCTGGTCTAGCAACTAGAGTATTCATTAGTTAGTAAAAACTGAAAGAACTGCTGTAAATCAGAAACAAAAACAGAAATTGCTGGAAAAGCTCAGGAGGTCTGGCAGCATTTGTGGAGAGAAATCAGAGTTAACGTTTCGGGTCAAATGACCCTTCCTCAGAATGGTTTTCCTTTTGTTGTAGTTTTTTTCGCGGGATTCAGGGAATTTGGGCTTCACTGGCTAGGCCAGCATTTATTGCCCATCCAAGAGGGTAGTTAGCCACATTGCTGTGGGTCTGGAGTCACGCATAGGCCAGACCAGGAAAGGATAGCAGTTTCCTTCCCTAAAGGACATCAGTGAGCCAGATGGGTTTTGACAATCAACAATGGATTATTAATTCCAATTTTTTTTTAAAATTGAATTCAAATTCCACCATCTGCTGTGGCAGGATTCAAACCCAGGTCCCTGGAGCATTATCTAGGTTTCTGAATTAATAGTCCAGTGATAATACTGCTAGGCCATCACCTAATGTTGTTCATTAGTTAATATGTTTTCACCAATTGTAAAGCTAAATCTAATTCGTCTAATGATTTATCAGTTGGCACTGGAAAAAGTAACCACGAGGATGTTGGATTATTGTAAAAATCCAACAGGTTCATTGATGTTCTTTGTGGAAAAGAATCTTCTAACCATAGTGGTCAGACCAATATGTAATTTTAATTTCACTTAACGCTTCTTCTCCTCCACTGCCCCAGTCCCCATGTTTTCCCCCCTCAGAAAAAAGAGGTCAATTTGGGGAAGTTATGGATAGATAAGGAAAATGATCTGGTCAATATTTCTGAGACTCAGTGTTACATTTAAACCTCTTCTCTACAGCTGTATTCTAGTTGGATGTGGTGACTTTTCTGAAATAGATATTGTGTCATTGTTCAGACATGTAGAGTCACAAACAGTAATTCTATGTCATCAACAGGCAAGCTGCCACTTCCATTTTCTCTGGTCAGTGTAGCTTCCTGTTACAAGAAGGCTACAGTAGAACAAAAACCAACAGCAACTAAAGTTTAACGTGGCACAATATCCCAAGGCACTTCACAGGACATTGTCAAATAAAATTTGACACTAAGCCATATAAGGAGGTATTAGAGCTAATGACAAAGAGAGGACAGTTTTAGGGAGCATCTCAAAGATGGAAAGAGAAAAAGAGCCTTTTGGGGGTGGGAAGGTGAGGGAGGTGGCATTCCAGAGCATAAGGCCTCAGCAAGTAAAAGTTGAGTTGATAATGATGCAGCAATAAAAGGTACACAGAGACCAAAATTGGAAGAGTACTGATAACTTCCTCCAGCCTGGTCACCTTCCAAGCTATCAAAATAAGAAAGAATAAGACCATATAGGGATTTGAAAACCTGCCAAAACTAATGTCCAGATCCACGAACATGCTTGGGGATTTAATCCCTTTACAAATTTACTGATGATAGTAAGTCAGGTGCTGCATATGTAAACAACTTCTGTAATGCTGTAATGCTGACAGCATCACACATGTATTACAAAAATGGAAAAAGCGCCATTGAAGTAATTATTTGGTGTGGTTTGACCTTTAACTGGAATGTTAACAGACAATCTTTGCTTGAGAATAATAACCCACTCTGTTCCACTGCAAAACATGCAAAATTGCTTTTTAATCCTTTTGACCAAATCTCGGCATCATTGGATAGGCCAACTTTTGTGTCTGACCCCTAAATACACTTGGGAAAGTTCTGGTAGGCCACTTTTTGAACCCTTTCCATGTGGTGTAGGTACATCTAAATTATAGTTACAAAGGGGCTTTCAAGATTTTGACCCAGCAACCGTGAAGGAGTGGCAATTATAATTCAAAGTTAACATGGCGTGGGTTGGAGGGAAAATTGGAGACAGTGATATTTCCTTGTATCTGCTGCCCTTTCTTTCTAGTTGGTAGAAGATGGGGGTTTGTAAGGTGCTGTTGAAGCATCCTTGGTAAATTCCTGTATTGCAGCTTGTAGGCAGTACAGGCTGCTACTATTGTACATCAGTGATGGAAGGATTCAGTGTTTGGTGATTGGTGTGCCAATCAAACCGCATATTTCGCCTTGGATTGTGTCAAGCTTTTTGAATGTTGCTGGACCTGCATTTATCAAGGAAACTGGAGCGCATTGCATCATGATCCTGAATTGTGCCTTGTTGATTTTGGACAGACTTTGGAATTCAGGAGATGAGTTACAGAATCTTGAGTGACTGATCTGCTCTTGTAGCCATAGGATTTATCTGCTGATCCAATTCAGTTTCTGGCCAATAGCAACACTCAGGATATTGATAGTGGGAGATTTCCGTGATGATCATGCCAATAAATGCCAAAGTGAAATTTTCTCTTGTGAAGACGGTCATTGCTCAGAACTTGTGTTATTGCGCAAATGTTATTTCCCACTTACCAGCCCAAGCCTACATATTGCCCAGGTGTCGCTGCACAGGGAGGCAGATTGATTCAGTACCTAAGAACTTGCAAAGATGATGAACTTTGTGAAAGCATCAACAAACATTCCCACTTCTGACCTTATGGAGGCAAGATTGTTGCTGAAGATGGCTGAGCTGAGACATCACCCTGAGCAATTCCTCTAGCAATGTCCTAGAACTGAGATGATTGACCAACAAACATATCACCCACTTTTTGCGAGTTATGACTCCAACCAATGGTTTCCCCCAATTTCCATTGAAATGAGTTTTGTTAGGGCTCCTTGAAACCTCATTCGCTTGAATGCTGCTTCGATGTCAGAGGCAGTCACGTTAACCTTGGCTCTTTAGTTCAGCTGTCTTGTCATGTTTAGACCAAGGCTGTAATGAGGTCAGGAGCCAGGTAACTGTGGGGAACCCCAACCAAGTGTCTGTTAGCACATAATTGCAGTGTATTTGCTGCTTAATAGCAGTGTCAATAACAATTTTTGATTATTGCTGATGATTGAGTGTAGACTGATTTGGCAGTAATTGTCCAGCTTGGATTTGCCCTGATTTTAATGACATGGCATGCCCAGGCAATTTTCGATACTGTCAGTTAAATACTAGTGTTGTAGTTGTACTGGAACAGCTTAGCAAGTGACATGATTAGTTCTGCAGCACATATCTGCAGTAGAAATGCTGGAATGTTTTCAGAACCCTTTTGCAGTGCCTTCAACCATTTCTTGACGTCACATAAGTTGGTTGAAACTGACATCAGGTGTTAATCAATTGAAGGTTCTTTGCTTGTATTTGATCTGATGCCGTGAAACTTCATTGGTGCAGAGTTAATGTTAATGACTTCTAGGGCAATTGTCTTCCAATTGAATGCTACTATGCCACCATCTCTGCTCTGTCCCACAGGCAGGACAGACCCAGGGATGGTGGTGATGGTTTCTCAGGAATTAGTTGTCAGTTACGATACAGTGAATATGACTAAGTCAGACTGTTGATCAGTCTGGGGGACAGCTTTCCCAATCTTGCCACGATATTAGTAAGGAACTCTTTGCAAGGTCAATAGGGCTGGGTGTGCCATTGTTGTTTCCAGTGTCTAGGGCATTGTGGAATCGTCTGTCTGGTTTCATTGCTTTTTAACTTTGTAGCAGATTGGTTCGACTGAGTGTCTTACTAAACCATTTCATAGAGACCACATTGTTGTGCATCTGATTTCACATGTAGGCTTGACCTTGGTAAGGGCATCCCTGAGGGACATTACTTAATTAGTTTTGACTGCAGTTTCATGGTTGCCATTACTGGCACTAGCTATTTAATTCTAAATTCATTAATTAATAGAATTTAAATTCCACCAGCTGCCATGGTAGGATTTGAACCTGCATTGGCAGAGCATTAGCCTGGACCTCTGCATTGCAAGCCATTACCTCCTTCCTACTACCTCCTAATAAATTGAGGTTCCTGGTGGATAAGTAATCTCTCCTTTCTTAGGAATTGCAATGTCGTTTGGTTCAGTTGCACACCTAATTGGTCTGTGGTTAAGTGAAAGCAGAAAGATGGAGGTAGGTGTTATAATTATAATTGACCTCAGCAGCCCTGGACAAGAATAGGATCAAATTTGATTAGTTGCTCTGTAGTGTCTCCCAAACGAACTGGACACGTTTAATAATGATAATCGACTTTAGACTGCTAATACTTGTTAACTAGCCTTGTACACAGCTTTTTAAGATTCTTGTGAAGATTTGTAGCTTAGTTTGTTGATGAGGTTGTTGACTTGCTCGCCGAGCTGGCTGGTTATTGTACAGACGTTTCGTCACCATGCTAGTGTGGCCTCCAATCATGCAATGTTGTTCTACTCCGTTTGGAGTTTACACTGTCTGGTCTGTTAAGTTGGGTAGTGTCATTTCCGGTTCTGTTCTGCATGGGTTTTTATCTGGGGTCTAATTCCACATGTTTGTTAATTGCGTTATGGTTTTCAACCCGTAATGCAATTAACAAAAATGTGGAATTAGACCCCATGTACAAACCCATGCAGAACAGAACCAGAAATGACACTACTCACCATAACAGACCGGACAGCATAGATTCCAAGTGGAGTAGAACAACATTGCTTCACCGAAGGCTGCACTGATGTTACCTAGCATGGTGATGAAACGTCTGTCCGATAACCAGCTGGCTCGGTGAGCAAGCCAGCATGCTTGTACACAGCTTGTATCACAATGAGTAGTTAGCATGAGTTTGGTTCCATAGGTGCTCGTAGTTATCCAGTATTTCATCTTTTCAGTATCCTGAATGAAGTATGGCATAAGAAAATCTTGTGCTAAAATGTATCTAGCATTATAATCTTTGCTACAGTCATTTTCTCCAAAAAAAGAAAGCTGCAGATACAATGATCATCTTTCAACAGACCCCTATACTTCATGCATTTTAATTTATTGTATAGACACTGAAGAAAATGTCTCCCACGTCCATGAAGATTACTTTTCAACAGCTTCGAGAGGGAGCCACAAAGAATCTGACAGAAGTTTTAGTTATGGAGTACAGACTTAGCCAATCTTGTATGGTAAGATCATATCAAAGATACAAACAGGACCTCTTGTTAAAGGAATAAATTTATTGTATTTTTTGCATGATACTGCAAGTAGCTGCTATATGCTGATAAATTGTACTATTAAATGCTGGTGGTAGAATCTGTTTAATTGCAACTGAGCCTAGAAGCATGTAGTTCTTCAGCATTATAATAAATGGAAATCAAGACATCTTCGTAGGAAACAAAACAACCTGTAACATAGATATGTAACCAAGAGTCCATGTGCATTCTTTATAAAGTATAATACTTAAGCATTAACTTGCAAGCAATTTTTCCTGGTATTTGAGATATTAATGATGGCCTTGAGAGTTAAGTTATGTGATATTAGAATGAGACATAGGTGGACTTAATGCCATGGGTATTTATCACATTGACATTAACTGTTTCCTCAGACAATTGTTAGAACATGAGCTTTGGGTGCTTTCATATAATCATCAAATGCTTTTACCATATAATTTGCAAGATTATTACACTCTTCATACTTTGCAATTTATCCCTTTCAGAGAGGTCACGATTTTTATGAAGGTGTGCGTGCAGGTAAGCTTACTATCCATGATCAGCTATTTTCATTCATTGTACTTCAGCTTTTCAAAAAGAAGTTGACTCTGTAGCTAAGCAAGATCTGTCTTGGTAGCTAAACAGATACATGGGCTGCTCGGTATTTATTAGATGAGATAAATCAGCGAGACCTCAGACTTGATCACAGCTCCCTAGAGACTCGGCTGCCAGAATTAGAGCATCACAACTGCTCTCTATTCTCTGATTTAGGAAGGTGGGAGAAAAAGCAGTTGCATTTACGGAGCATCCTTCATGATGACAGAAAACCTCAAAACACTTTCCAGCTAATGAATACGTTTGAGGTGCAGTCACCATTGAAATGTAAGAAATGGGGCAGCCAATCTGTATATAATGAACCCCCACAAGCAGTATTGTGATAATAATCAGATAATCCAATTTTGCAATGTTGGTTGAGGGATGAATGTTGGCCACAAAATCAAGGACAGTTCCCTGCTCCTCTTCAAAGTAGCACCATTGGATCTCCTGTGTTCACCTGAGAGAGATCAGGTGGGCCTCAGTTTTATGTCTTGCCCAAAAGATGGCACTTTTCACAGCACAGCACTAGTATGACAGCTTTCATTATTGTGCTCATGGTCAAATCCTGGAGTCAGAACCCTCAGCCTTCTGACTTAATAAGAGTGCAACTAATGGAATCACAGCTGACACTAAGAGTAAGAGGAAAAGATCAACAAGTATTTGCACTCCTGATTGCTGTTCAGATATGCCTTTTGAGATATAGAAGGATTGGATCACCAATAAACAGCCATACTGAAATATCCCAAATTTTTAAGTCAAAAGATTGGCCACTTAGGAAAAATGTGGCAGAGCATTTACATTTTTACAAAGACAATTCCTATTTAAACCATTTCAGAGCACATTGATTGGAAGCTCTAAGTGACTGATCATGTTCCAGTTTTTTATTTGCTCACCTTGCCTGTGTAATTTTTTTATTTGTTTACAGAATACTGAGAGCGTCATTAGCTAGACAAGCATTTATTGCACAACCCTAATTGAAGAAGGGTGATGCTGAGCTCCCTTCTTGAACCACTCCAGTCCGTGTGGTGTAACGGTACCCATTGTGCTGTTTGGAGGGGTATTCCTGGATTCAGACCTGGTGACAGTGAAGGAATGGTGAAATTGTTCCAATTCAGGATGAAAGTTGGCATGGCCTGGAGGGGGTCTTAGTTGCAGATGATCCTGTTCACATGCTTCTGCTGCCATTGCCCTTCTAGGTGGTAGAGGTCACACATTTGGAAAGTGCCATTGGTGGAACCTTGTTGAGTTACTTCAGTGCATCATCTAGACACTCCACACTGCTGCTACTGTTCATTGGTGGTGAAGGGAATAAGTGCTAAAGGTGGTGATAGTGTTACCAATCAAGTGGACTATTTTATCGTGAATGGTGTCAAGCTTCTCGAGTGTTGTTGGAGCTGCATTCATCCAGGTGTGGAGAATATTCCGTCGTATTCTGTCTTATGTTTTGTGGCTAGTGAACAGACATTGGGGAATCAGGAGGTACGTTACCTGCATCAGGATTATGTGTTGCAAATGTTACTTGCCATTTGTCAGTCGAAGTTGGTGGGCCAGGTCTTGCTGCATATGAACAAAAATGATTGAGTGTCAGCTTCAGCAATACTGAACGTTGTACAATCATCAAGAAACATCCCCACTTCTGACCTTATGATGGAGAGAAGATCATATTTATCAAGTAATTGTCCATTGGATTTGTGTAATGCCCATGTAACTAATCATGCAGTACAAATTGTGGCACAATAACAAATAAAAATTTGAGGAATTTTGAAGTTCAGAATTGATTGTATTGCCTAGGAGTTTGTGATCCAACCATTTATAGTATTTACTGACCCTAAAACAATACTCTTTTGTATCTAATATTTTGTGTAAATTATATCTTTTGAGTCTCTTCAATTTGTGTTCCTTTTAAGATTCAGACTGAAACAACTGAGTAGTTGAGAAATGAAACTCTGCTGGGCATTAAACCAAAAACCAATTGATAACATTACTCAAATCTGATGAGTCATGTTCCGAAAATAATCCCACTGGTGTCCCCTAGAGTTTTTTTTCATTAGGCAACACTTGTTCTTATAAACTTTATTATCTCGTATTTCTATATATTTACAGCTGTAATTGCCAACGTTGCAAATTTATTTCACCTATCAGATGTCATTCAGATGCGATATGATGAAAGAGTGAAATTATGCTCTAGTTATAGTATATTACAGTCCAAAACAGAATAGATTAGAAGTGGTATTGCGTTGAGGAGATTTCCTTTCAGTCATAGATTGAAAGGGTGGGTGTGATTGCAAGGAAATCTGATCAAATGGTTTGAATGATCTGACAAATCACTTGAATAATCTAAGTAAGTAATTGCTTTTTAAACCCTGAAAATTAATTGTTATTCTTTTAACTCCCAACTCTTAGGTTCTGTCATATACATAGTGGCCAAACCTAGATTTTCCTGGAAAAATAACAGCAGTTTAATGATGTACATCATTATTAATGTTCATATCAGCTGTCAAGTTCAAACATTCAAAGATATGCCATGAGTTCTTAATCTCCAGAACATGTTGGTCAATATTAGAACATAACTAGGAGCAGGCAACTCGGCCCCTTGAGCCTGCTTCTTCATTTAATACAATCATGGCTGATCTCATCTCAGCCTCAACTCTACATTCCTGACCACTGTCCATAACCCTTCAATGTGGGCCACTACTCTACTTCTTCAGTTTGTTTCTGGGATATTGATGCTGCTGGCTAGTTGAGCATTTATTGCCACTTGCTAAGAACTAAGTGAAGAAGTTGGTGCTGAGCTGCCTCCTTGAATCTCTGCAGACCTGGGTGTGTAGGTGCATCCATAGCAGTGGTTGGAAGGGAGTTCCAGGATTTTAACCTAATGATATTGAAGAAACAGTGATAAAATTGTCAGTAAGGATAGTGTGAGGCACGGAGGAGAGCTTGCAATTGCAGATATTCCCGCGTACTTGTTTCTCTTGTGCTTCTAGGTGGTAATGGTTACAGATTTAGACAGTACTGTTGAAGGAGTCTGGATGCCTTGTTGCATGGTACACTATGCTGTCACTGTGCATCGGTGGTGAAGGGACTGTAGGTTGAAGGTGGTGGATGAGATGCCGGTCAAGCAGACTGTGGTGTCATGAATGGTGTGGAGTCATATTTGACCTGATGACATGAATTTTTGGAGTTGCATTCATCCAGGCAAGTGGAATGCATTTCATCACAATCTTGGCTTCTACCTTGTAGGTGGTAGGCAAACACTGGGTACTTAGCACCTAAGTTACTTACCACAGAATTTGCAGCCTCGGACAGTATTTATATGGTTGGGCCAGTTCAAATCCTGGGCATTAGTAACCTCCAGAATGTTGTTAATGGAGTATTCATCATGATAATGCCATGGAATTTCAATGGGAGATGGTTTCATGCATGAATGTGGGCGCCAGGATTTTGACCTAATGACATTGTAAATTCGGCATATATTTTCAAATTAGGATGATGAGTGTCTTGGAAGGGATCTTGCAGGATGGTTGTGTTCCCACGTATAGGCTGTCCTTGACCACAGTAATGGTAATGGCTGTGAGCTTGGAAGTTGTTGACTAAGGAGACTTGGTGAATTTCTGCAGCCTCACACTGCACCTAATAAGCATTGCTAGTGGAGAGACTGAATGTTTAGATGTGGTGCAAATGAAGTTCTTTTCGTCCTGGATATTGTCAAAGCTTCTGAAGTGTTGTCGCTGTTGTACTCATCCAGGCAAACATAGAATATCCCATTATACTCCTCACTTGAGCTTTGTAGATGGTGAACAAACTTTAAGCGGTCAAGTGGTGTGTTACTTTCTGCAGGATTCCCAGTCTCTGACCTGCGCTGTATCCAGAGCATTTATATGGCTAGTCCAGTCAGTTTCTGGTCAGTGGTAACCCCCAGGATGTGAATGAAGGGAAATTGAGTGATGGTAATGCCGTTGAATGTCAAGGGGTGATGATTAGATTCCCTCTTGTTGGATAAAGTCAATGCTGAGAATTTCAATGGCATCAATGTTACTTTCCATTTGTCAACCCAAACCTGGATATTGTCCAGACCTTGCCGTATTTGGACATGGACTGCTTCAGTATCTGAGGAGTCATAAATGGTTCTGAGTTTTGTGCAAACATCAGTGAAATCCCCACTTCTGACCTTATCGTGGACAAGTGGTAATAGATGAAGCAGCGGAAGATAGTTGGGCCGAAGACTCTATCTTAAGGAAGCGATAACTGAACTTCAACAACAACATCCATCTTCCTTTGTGCTAGGTATTAATCCATCCAGCAGAAAGTTTTCCTTGATTTCCATTGACTCCAGTTCTGCTAGGGTGACTTGATATCATTTTTGGTCACGTGCTGCCTTGTCAAGTATAATCATTCAGATCTCATCTCTGGCTTTTGCTGTTTTGTCCTTGTTTAGGCTAGGGCTGTTATGAGGTCAGGATCTGAGTGACCCTGACAGAACACAAACTGAGTGTCAGTCAGCAGGTTACTGCTCAGTTTGTGCCACTTGACAGCATTGCTGACAATCCCTTGATATTCAGTTTT